AACTCTATTCATGGGGCAGTAAGCTGGAAGTGAGTTAGTCACAGAAAACAGCTTGGGAAAGCTTAGTTTGAATCTCATCAACCTTAAGTTTGAAGTTTGGCAAATCACTTCCTTTCACTGTCTCTCTTTTCCTCTTCCTACTACCCGCTTTGCCATTAGTTTGTCATTTCTGGAAGGCAGCAATGTCTCTTTGTACCTCTGCAGCACAAAGCACAGCTGTGCTCCAAACACACAGAGACCTTGAGGCACATCCAAAATGCAACACGGAAAAATCCATTGTGCGCTTGACAGGGTCGTATTCTGCCATCCTGTCTCACGCTTGCACGGTGCATTACGCCATGAGAAATCCTGTTGAAAACCACAGGACTATTTGCAGAACAGGGCACTATTCAGAATGAACGAACGTGGCAGAATTCCTCCAATTATTTACTTTGTCAACACCTGAGAGCCTACAAGAAACAGAAAGTTCTCTGACATGTACACCCCCTGTATGAATACACACAGGGAGGGTGCACACACTCCACCATAAAGAACCAGACCATTTTTGCCCTCACAGTACCCATAAGGATGCATTCATTCCCCATTCCCCTTCTATTCCGACACAAAATGGAACGTATTGACATCAAGTAAATTCTCTACCAACCACAGAATCCCAGTGCTGCACCAGTTCAGTCTGCAGCAAAGCTCTTGGCTTGTACTTGACTTTCATGCTTGATTGTATGGAGCCAGCCTAGCCCCAAGGGGAGGTGGAGGTAGAGGTGAAAGCAACAGCAGTAATAAGAGGGATAGTTCATGACTCCCAAATACATTTTTAGCAAAGCTGACATGAGCAACGGCTACACAGAGCAGCTGCTCCCAGAGGAGATCATGCATCAGACCTAGTTTGTAACCACAGATCTAAATCAGAATTGTCCCAGGAATTAATTCTTGAATTTCTATCCAGACAAACTACAGTATTGAGGGTTATCCTCAGCCATAGTTGAGAGAATACCTAAACCAAGCTACCTCCTGTGAAGCTTTAAGAAAAAAAAAAAAGGAAGTTCTCAGTGCTTGGTCCGCACTAGCTACATGTTTGCTCAGAAGTCCTCTTAGGTGTCACCCAAAAAGAGGGTAGCAAAAAAACCCCAGTATCTAGTTTTTTGTTTGTTTTTTTTAAATAGAACAAAGCATGCTGAGCAACTTGGCAGGTGCAGCAATGTGGAGAAGCAGATCCCCTCACCTAAGCAATCAAAATGCTGGTCATCTTTCTCTCATATGGAGAGTCTGCTTAGGAGCTCCTATCACAACCAGCAACGGTTGCAATGGGTGGGAGTAGAAGAACTCCAGTACATTTTCAACACGGAAATGTATTAACTGTTAACACTCGTGAAGTAAAATCCAAACTCCCCTCTTGACATTACCGGGATCATCTCCTTTTCTTTTGTCACAGACAAGCAAGATTAAGACCCAATTTTGTAATACCATATGGCCCTCAGCTCAAACTTGACACCTTCTACAGCTGCCCCAAAGTAGTTTTTGTGAAATTGGGGTGGCAAAAAGAATGACTGCAGAATCAAGTTCTTCCCTGAACCACTCTGAGACATGATCCCCAACTCATTTGTGTGGCTTGGTGATAGAGGTCCTCGTCCAGTGAAGGGGAATTCAGTCACATCCATCTGGCCTCAATAACCTCAAAATGAAGGTGGATGGGGCATGACCTTCACACGTAGCGTAGAACTGACATTTCAGAGTTGAAGCAGCTAGCAAGATCCTAGCTGAAGATGAGAATTACTCACATGAGAGCATGGACACACTAAGATCAAGAGAATACAAGAAGAAGTTGAAGTGAGGAACTGTACTATAAGGAGATTCACTTCACTAGACAGCTGGGAAGAACTGAAACAGCACGAGGAGCTCTCCCTCTTACATACATACATACATGCGCTGTATGTGAAAACCAGGCAGGGTGTACACCTAACTTCAGTGACTGTGAGGGCAAAACAAGTCATCTGGTATGGTGGTAACATCAACGAGGACTATCCTATGGAAGGCAAACGTGTAATACCATAAAGCTTAACACACTGATTGACCTTTGTTCCTAAAAACAGTCAAGTTTCACAAAAAGAGCCTTTGCCTGATTTTTCTTAATGCTTTCTGATATCAAAACCCATCATGCAACAAAGCATGTTAAAGGTAACCCAGAACCCTGCCAAGCCCCAGATCAGGCCAGAGGAAAAAGGAGGTATCTGTCTTTTGAACAACAGCACCAAACCACTGTGAATCTGCAAATCATCCCACTTGTCCAATGTCCAGACTGACCTGCCTGTTTTTGATTAGCTGCCTCTTCCCTTATTTTCACCATTAGTAACCAGCTTATATAGAAAAAAATGACACAGGCAGCTATCAAGTACACCTTTCACAGTTGTCAAGCAAATCCAACATACGTAAAAATTGCATGCCAAATGAATTTTATCCAGCATGAAAACAATGTAAGGCTTCATATACTATTAGATTCTGTGCTGCTTACAGACTATGGGCTTGTACTTGTCAAGGAAAAACAAAAGAAGTGTGATTTATTTTTGTGCAACCCCAATCATCTGCTGGTGCAATTCCACTTTCGTCAATAGAGCTAAATGAGCATGAAAACACAGTAATGCAGGCATGCATCAGACCCCACATGTTTAAAGATCACCACCCTCATCCTGCACGACTCTATTAAATGCACAATTCCTACTGCCTATCATAGGAGCTTCCTTTGGAAAGGGAAGCTCTTAAGTCCAATATATTTGCCTGACCACTTTCTGCTATACTCGAGTTCATCTTTCACAGAGTTCTACTCAGGACACATCTGTGTATCATTTCTATCTTCCAGCTGGGAAATTACAACAAAAAGAGCAAGGGTGCTTATTTATCTCAAGTCATACTGAAATCACTGGAAATTTGTACCATTTTAACAGGTAATTGGACAACTGAACGACTTAATTCAAATCATACAAGACTCTGTGGACAAGAACATGGGTCTCCCAATTCCTACGTGTGGCCCTAGCCCCAGAAGTGATCATCTTTTCTTACAGCTTATAGCAACTTGGTGGACTTGGTAGTGTTAGGTTAATGGTTGGACTCAATGATCTTAAGGGTCTTTTCCAACCTAAATGATTCTATGAACTTGTAGCATAACAGCTGACGACATATCAAGCAGTGAGCATGAGAACTCTGCCAGCAAAATTTCTGGAAATACCAAGCCATTCATCAATTTGTATCATAAAAGGTTTTCCCAAAGCATCAGCTCTCTGTGATATTTACACAACCACCACCTTCCCCTCCTGCAGATCCCAGCACGATTGATGCATTTGTGTTTTATGGTATGAAGTGAGAGGCTATGTATGAAAAATGCCTGAAGGCAGAAGCATTTTCCTTTTCAACACCATCTGCTCATAAATGAGAAGTCTACAGGAATCAGACAAGGATTCGTAATTCATATAGCTTATATTCATGTTACAAGAACAAAACAACCAACCATGACTGACAGTGTTTTCTGTTAAAGGCTAAGAATTATCAGCAACAGCAGGTAAATATACCGTCAGTTGGTTTTTTTGCTGTTATCGCTGACCAATATTAAAATAATTTTCCTGTCATTCACCCATTACTTATCTAAGCCATACTTACTACAAAAGTCTACAGACAAAACAAAAGAGGTAAATACAGTTACTGCTCACATTCTTTACAAGAAAGATAGCAAGTCCTCTTTTATTGTACTTAAAATGTCTAACAGATATTCCAGTCACCTTATACACCCATATAATTGAAAAGTTAGGTAAAAACATTGGAAGTGACAGAAAAATGCCATACTAGAATGCTTCTTTTTTTTTTTTGCTTTGCTTATTGTAGAGTCGATGCTGAATAAAAGGTCATAGAAGTGGCTGAGAAACCATTCTCATCACAGCTATATGTAAAACATCCTTCCATGTTGCTGCCAAACTATTATGTCCCTGAAAGATTATACACCATTCTGCAAATTAAAGGTATGTCTATATATTCTACTCCTCTGTTGACAGACTTACCATCCTAACACCATACTTAGGAAAAGATGGTAATTTCCAGGACTCTGGTCCTGCACAGCACTTCAACAGATACTTAACATTTAGTGGGACTATTTATAAATGCAGAAGTTTTGTTGGACTGAGCAAGAGTATTTTTGCACTTTCCATAATGGACCAACAGTTTGAAAATGAAACAGAATGCCCTGATGCTCCCTTGCCTTGTTGCACTTTGTTTAGTCATTTTATACCTGTGTTATGAGTGTTTGTAGCAATAATGCTTAGAATTGCTACTTTATGCCCACTTGTTGCAGGGATAAAAGGGTTCAAGATAAGGAAGAGAAATCACATCTCAACTATATGCCTTTCAGAGCTGATGACATGCAAATTAATCAGCTTTGAACATTTACTGTAGCAGGCACATAGGTTCCTAAACTACTAGCTAAAATACAGTACTAACATGAAGCTCCTAATTCTACCAGTCTTGAAGTATAACAGGTTGAAAACCAGATTCCCCACCAACACAAAACAAGACAGACCCCGTATTTCTCATTAGAATAATTTTTTAGAAAGTTCTGTTGACTAGATCTGGCTGAGAAACAGGAAAATGTTGAACCGAGATCCTAGTAATTCTTTCAATCAGTCTCAGTAATACAGTTTCTCTGTTTATTTCAGGCTTTACACAGTGCTACTGGACTCTTCCTTAAGCAAGCTTTTGGCTAACAGAGCCTTAAGCACAGATGGGTCTCTGACCTTATTTAGCAGGGATTCTCCTGAAGGCATTGCTGTCTGATCTTATAACATTTGATTCAAAAGGTTCAGTGACTTGGCCAGGGCACGCAACCCACTTTTTTAATGCTTGGTTCTCAATGAAGCTCTTGTTGATTAACTACAAATAAATTTTGCTTAACATTGAACTCCCCTACCACTAATTATCTGTCTTAAATAGCAATTAATTGTGAATAATAAAAAATGTTCAATTACCGATTTCCTCTCTTGTTTCAGCTCCTGCACATAGCGTGTTAACTCTCCAGTGATAAGAGAGGTCATGTTCTCTGAAATGACCTCATGCTGTCCGGCATAGTCATTCATTTCATTTAAAGTGGCTAGGAAGGCTCTAGTTGATGTGTACCTGCAGAGGACAAAAATGCATTTTGCTTTTAGTCCCTTTCTTTTCAGAGAGACACACTGCAAAGGGAGGTTGTATCCTTCTTAAGCATTTAGTACTGCTGCGTGAGACTGAATATGGATTAGCACAGATTCACGTGAAGGAACTTCTCAAAAGGAAGCCTACCCCACACACTGACAGTTGTCTGGTAAATTTATCTCGATTTAGACAGTTTGACATTGGCTCTTAAAATATCACAGTTTTAGCGTGCCACATTTTTTATCAGCACAGCTCTGGGACTTCACTATTCACCAAACATTTCTAGTTACACTCTTTCAAGTCCTTACAATTCAGTGCGCAGAGTCATCAGTACACTCTACCAGGCAAAATCCTAAGCAACCAATTTTTGGCTAGCATAGTACAGAAAAGAAAACTTTTCATAGTGTAAATTGGATTTAAATCAGCTATAGTTTATAAAGTTTTCAAAAAGGTAATGAGTTTACTAACCAGGTGTTCATTGTCAACTCATATTTTTTAGGACCTTCCATTGCAAAGTTTATTTTTTGTCTAAAATAATCTCTTAAATGACATTCCATGTCTTATTAAAAGGAAGAAACGAACATCTGTGCACACAATTTCAAAACAGCAGATTATGTCACTAGCATATTCAGCACAGAGCCAACAGAGCTGCATTTAAATACCCCAGCTGGCTGTGCTGGTCAGCTGGAAAACAGCAGCTTTGAAGCACTGCACTTGTACATATTAGAAAAATGATTAATATTAAATGGTAGCAGTCTACACTGATATTATCACCTAAAGGTGAAAAAGCAAAGCAAAGAGGGAGAGATTTAGAGGAAATAGAAGGAAGTGTCACAAGTAGGGATGAAAAAGGCATCAGAGAAAAGAAACAGAAAAAAAGAAACTAAAAAAAGAGACTAAAAATATAGTCCAGTACAAGCAGCCACATTCACAGTCAAGCTGTGGTGCCTCAAGAGAAATCTCAGTGGCAAAAGACAGGGGATCAAAGCAACAGAACTACAGACTGACAATAAGCTTGAAAACAGATCATTTTTAGACAGGCTGTCTCAAAGCAGTGTCCGAGGCCCCGAAAGGTCGCATGACAAATCCCCAGACATTGTTTAGAGACATGAGGAAACTATACTGAGGTGAACACTGTATTTAAAAGGGCAAAGGATGCACAGGATCTTCTGTGCCACATCACATGAATCATTTAACTCCAATATCCTTTTCCAGCAACGAATGATGAATCAAAAAAGGTTGTAGTAAACTCAAAATACCCATTTATGGTATAGCTACCCAAAGGCAGATTTATTCCTAATCCCGGGTACAAACCAAAACAGCTGATGTGCTGGTAGCGTAAGCTTCCTTGTGTAAACATCAATATCTCAGGAAACAATGGCATAAATAACTGATTCACAAACAATGTTACTAAAAATAAATTAAAAAGAAAATGAAAAGGCTGTTATCTCTGTTAATACAAGCCACTAGAGTAACTGTATACAGCAGCTTGGGGGGCTGACCCAAAAATCTAAATTAATATAATCATACAGTTGGACCCGTATCCAAACTCGTTTCAAACGTTTCAAATTTCAAGGTCAAGGGTTTGAGTCTGCTGCTGGGCTCTCCAGAGGCAGAGCAGCCTCCTGCAATACAAGGCTGCAGGGTCAGACTCTGCAATGCCTTTGTTCAACGCTGATGCATTACAAAACACTGACGTTGAGAAACTTCAGAGTCAGAGCGTTCTAAAGAAAAAGGTTCTTGCTCTGGCTTATATCCTGTCTGTTGGAAAAGCTCCTCCTCTAGAAAGTTCTCTTTAAAGAGTATCTTTAATTTCATCAAGGGCAGGAATGTTCTTAACATGTGGTCTATCATCACCTGTATCCATGTCCGCAGTGTCACCCAGTGAAGGAGCTGTGCTTTGACTCTGCCATCGCTATCTGTGAGCACTACATTAGTCCCATGCCATCAGGGACATACAGTCCAAATACATGAATCAACAGCAGTCAGCTGAGGCCATGCAACATCCTTCAACAGCAGCAAGCCATGTGTCCATCCCTCCCAGGATACTGGAAGTACAAACTACACCCTTCACCCTACTCTTCAAGAACCACTGGTTTCTCTGTGGTGTTGTAACATTATCCCTTTAGTAGGTTACTAATCTGTGTTGTCAGTCCATTTGAGTAATTTAATACTTAGGCAGACTGCTTAAGTTTCATGATAAAATTAGCAACTGTTACTGTTCCTGCTGAAAGTAGTTGAAGAGTTTGGTCATTCACTTCAAAGGGCCAGGATCATATAGTCTGGCATAAAGTTTTTAAGGTACATGAAAAACAAAACAAAAACCCCCAAACTGGGCACCCAGAAACCATAACATAAAGGGAATTGAGTAGTTGCAGACCAAATCCAAACTTTGAAAATCCACTCCTTACTATGTACCATATAAGCCTATTTCTGCATCTATGATTTCTATACTCTTAACTTGACTTTAAAATCTTCGGTTTACAAGCCAAATCCTAGCTGGTAACCCAAACTTTTCCCCTTCCTCCATTAATGCATGCTCACCCAGCAGCGGATCATGAACATACCTGTATTCTTCCTCCTCTTTGGAGTTCTTTTTGGGTTGGTATTTCTTTGAAAGGTTCCTAAAATTAAAAATACATGTATATAAAATTAAACTTAAAATCTCCTTTAAATTAACTGGATAATCTTTGCATGCACACACATTCTGTGGGGCTCCAATTTTTATTTGCAGTGATTAGACACCTCTTCAGAAGTATGATTGTAATTAGGCTTTTTGATTGCATTGTAGTAGCACTCAAAGAATGGGCCGCACAGTGCTTCAGTCTCTTAAACTGCAATAAAGTAGCAGATTCTGAACCCAAGAAGTTCATAAATTAAGGTCATGAAGTCAATACAACCCAGTTCTGATTCTGCTGATGCACAAGTCTCCTTCACCTGATCTAAAGGAGAGACCCTTTCACAGTAAAAACACTGGTCCTTAGATACACAGGCATGCTTTTAAAACTCCACCCAGTAGAAGGTGCTACTCCATATCCAAAGGTCAGCCAGCCTATTAAAGCATGAGTTGCTGCAGCAGATGACACTCATGCCTAGGCAAATTTGCCTGCCTTTAGCAGGATGCTTTCAAGGAAGAGAAAAATCTTCATAAAGCTGTAGGAGCTGCACTGAGATGACGAAAGGGGGATCATTTTATGATTATCAACTGATGCTGGGAGAAACGTGAAATTCAATTATCCCAATTAGCACAGATGATTGCATCTCTCATTACCCCACATCCAACTAATGATTTCATTTTAAAATATTGATATGTTCTTCAAGTGATCGTATCCTGAATAAGAAATCTGAACATAACTGTTAACACATTTGACAGTTAGTATATAGCTTTCATTGTCCTGAAAGCACTGACTGCAAGCCCCTTGCCAGCAGCACATGAAGGGTTTAATGAATGTGTGCTGTCCACCTGACACTCCATACCCCTTGCTGATACTTAAAAGCTCAGCATTGCAATGCATATTGCACTGCAGCACAATACAACACCATGCATCCTTTCAACAATGCAAACCAGAGAGCAATTTTAAGATCTTTTCAGTGCTGCGGTACTGGGATCTCCTCTATTCTAAACTCAGCCTTATTACTATAATATGCTTTCCTGCAGCCTCTGCAGAAATGGAAGCCGTTTGTTTAAGCTTTACAAGGTTGTTTCAGCGATTAAGAATATAACATACAAGTGGTATTGATAGAATCGTCGTCTGAAGGACTAACAAGTTGCATTGACCTATCTGTGCCAAACTCTTTGGAGGACTCCCAGAACACATCCAGTTGAAAAGAAACAGCTTTTTCAGAGGTGTAACCCACTCCCTGTTGCATGCTGGTTTTACTACTAACCAGGAGACAGCAGGGCCTCTTGTCTCACATTTCTTATTCCTTTTGTTCCCCTTAAGGAATTAAGAAGCATCTGCCCAAACAGAGTAGTAGCCAGAACCCTTGCAGATTTGCACAGACAAACGTGTTTCTCAAAATTTAAGTATCCCTACTGGAAGGGATCCAAATGAGCATCTCCTTTCCAGTCTTTGCCTTTTCTGAAAGGAGCAGGCTTTGAAACAATGAACTTTTCTCTAGTTCTGCGTACAGCAGCTTCAACCAAAGAATACCGGCACAGGAAGAATTCTGCTAAATGTTCTGCATGAGTACAGTAAATCTCATAAGCACTCTTTGTATGCCATGGGAATGCCTCCCTCCACACACCTGCTTAAAGAAGGGAAAAAACACAAGAAAACATGCACAGAAGACTACAGTAATAAGGCATTTTCACACACACTCAAAATGCACTTCTCCCTGCACTGTCATGCTGCCCCATTAATTCTGATATACACAGCTACTGTCTTGTTAATCTTTAAAGGTGCAGAAATACTACGGAGCTGGCACAAAAAAACCTAGACAGTATGCTTTCACACAAAAAAATATTCCGAAAGCATGTAACAAGGATTAGCATCTGGGTTAAACATTTTATTATTTTCTATGTACTTTATAAAAGACAAAATATTTGAGTTGAGCCTATATATTTGAGTTCTTCTATTTCACACACCCCCCTTTTTTTTTAATCAAAAACATACATAGGGTTTTAAGCAGGATACACACAAAAAACCCAGAAGTGACGCTGAATCCAGAAGTATTGCTGAAGTTCAGCGTGCAAACATACAGCGTCATGATGAGAACACCAGCACTTCCCAGGTTCAAGCTCACGAAGCAATGACACCTTCAGAGCTAACTGATTAAAGAGGGAACTAATACATAAGATCAAAGACCAGCAGTAAAATAGCAATTCTGGAAAGATACTGGGCTAGCCTGTACACCTGTCTTCGATTCATGTTTCTATTTGCGTTTTACCCTGCATCATTTTTTTTTTTTGCCTTTCCAGTTTGTTTCTCTGCTCCCTTATTTCCACTTCTTTGACATCTTGCTCTTTCTCTCACATTTAGCATTCATCAGAGGTTCCCAATTCCTGAGATCTTAAGCATTTTTTTCCAATAGGTCCTCCTCAAGGTTATCTGTCCATCATCACATTAGGCAAGGCTTTTGACACACTTTGTGATGCTCAGGAGTGTGCGCGCTTTAAGATAAGTAGTGACTAGGGAAGGAGGACAACGGAACGCCACTTCAGCACTCAGGGCACAATGTCCAGCATGTCACATCCAACAGAAGCTCAAAACAAAACACAGGAACAAGTCAACACTCTACCACACTTTCAGCATCCCTTCCTTCCCAGCCTAGTATAATGACTCAATAATTATAATGTAAAAGAATTAAGTCAAATCTGAACTGGACTCTCAATCCAGGACTGATTGTAAATGGTACAAGCAGGGCTTGAATAGTGCAGGCACAATGTGCAAGGCGTGGGACACTGGAGAGTTTCCTCCACTGGTGTAAGCAGATAAATTTGAAGCATCCTGCAAGTACCTAGATCTAACTTAGCACTTCTAAAAACCAAAATATTACATATGTATCTACAGAATTATAAAGAGGAAGGAAAGAAACATTTTTAAATAGAAGCAAATTAAACTTCAACAGATGACCAGGCCGACATGTAGATAGTAAGACAGGAAGAATAGCTAGCTAGGGAGCCCAGAGACCAAGCAGAAAACCCACATTTTACAAAAATAAAGTTCAGCAGCTTTACTTACACTATAAATAAAACTTTGAGTTAAATCCACAGGGGTATCTTGTGTTAACTTGTCCCTTTTTAATAGTATGTCTGCATGTTATGACATGCAGTGATATGCCGCAGCTCTTTTACACCAAATGGATATGATATAAGAAAGGTTTGCACCAGGCTTGGGAAGACTTATTAAAAAAAGCTGCGTGTTTTTTTTTTTTTTTTTTTTTATGTCCAGCACTGTTTTATCTCAACATTTGACAAGTCTACATTTTTTGTTTTCCTTTTATATCTCTAATTTCTTAGATGACTCCAAACAGCATTGTGTTTAAGAGCTCCTCAGGAATAAATGCATTTGTCCTTGGATCATAGCAGGGTGGGGGACAATACACAGGGGGACGGGGGGAGACACACGGACGGACAGATGACAAATGCAGTTACATGTGGGGAATTAAAATAAGGAGAGAAGAAACAAATTGACCAAGTTTGTTTTGGAAATCTAGGACAGAGTAAGAAATAAAACTCAGGAGTTCAGAGTTTCTAGATAGTCACAGGTAAAACTATCTCCCACTTTCCCTAAACATTTTGTTTGTTTGCTTATTTTCATAATTATGCTCTTGACACCCAATAGTTGTCATCCTAAGAAATTCAGTGAGTCTAGTGATTCTTCACAAGACAGGCCTGCTCACACAGATACTTTGCTGGGGTTTCCCAGTCCACTCACACTCTCTTTCTTCCAGCTCATTTTGCCTCTGTAATTCAATCTCTTCTCATCTCCATAGGATGTGAGCAATTTGTTCCTGCACAAGTCATTTTCTATTTCCTGCTTGTCTATAGCAGAAGCCCTGGGGAATCCCTGTGGCATTCCCCTGAGAAAGCACATAACCATAAAGGCATGGTTTTATCAACTACCAGCTCCTCGTAAAGAACAGGCCATTGTGCATCTCAAATCCATTCTAACACAAGCATCAAAATTTCTGGGCGATTTTTTGTTTTGCTTTGTTAATAGACATTGTGCTTTAGATATATACAGCTCAACTAAAACCTCAGATCTCAACCTCTATAAGTATGAAGAAGATGGAAGGAGTTCTAATATGTATTACTGTCATAAACAAACAAACAAACAAACAAACAAAAGGTATGGATTTACTGGAAGGGTTAGGAAGGATTAGTCCTGCGCTCCCCTTCCCAGTTAGCTCCACCACCTCCAGTTTACCACCCTGGACACTAGTGCCTGCCAACAATATTGCACCACAGCCTCTCTCGGCGGCAGCGGCAGGACTGTCTGTGTGCTGTACTCCCCTCTAACCCCTGTTCACCTCTCTTCTTTTCTACCCTACTGGAAAAAGCAGGGTAAGAGCTACTCATTGTGGGAGGGTTCTTGGCACCCCTTCCCCATTTACACTGGATCTGACATCAAGGAGTAAGTTTTCTGTATCTGGTTCACATACGCTCATCTCTACCTACAACCTGATGGTCGAACCAGATATGTAGAACATACACAGCAGGAATTTTCAGTAATTTAGCTACTTGAGATAAATTCACAGGATCTCTGCTCTGGTCAGGAGACAGATCACAAGAACAGGGGCAAGATTATAAAACCGTCAAAATTCAAATCTCAGGCTGCAACCTGGCTAAATATATAGACAAAATTTCCAAGGGCTGAGACTTTCTGACCTGCAGTTTCTCCAACAAGTATCCATGAAGAGCCTGTCTTATGGAAAGAAACCCTAAACTTTGCCTTACAACAAATTATCATTATTGTGCTGAATTCTTAAACCCTTCAGCATTTACGCGCAGCAGTCCTAATTTCATGGAAAACATTACAATGCTATCCTCAAAGCCTGAGCCATTAATCATGCATAAATCGTGAGTAAGCCCTAGTATGCTACTCAGTCACCTAAATAACCTTTATTTTTGTAAAGCATATGATTTTTAGCAGAGATAATAAAACAGTACCTTAAATTAACTTTAGCTTTCCATTCTCTAAATTAAAGCTATTCTCTAAAAGCCATTATTATAAACCAAACACATTACCACCACTGAAACAGTAAACTTACAGATGATTACAGGCTCTGAACAGATGCAACTCGAAGTCCAGAACTTTACGTATCAACTTACCTAAGCTGCTTTGCATAGCTGAGTTCAATCTCTGTTCTTTCTTTTACAAACTTGATGTACTTTTCCAGAACATCAATACCCCATTGCGTATGTTTTTCTAAGTTGTCAAACTGGTCCTGCAATGAATAAAAAAAATAGTTTAGTCTCATTGAACTTAGAGATAACTAAAAATAATTTCCAAAGTGCATATCACCATAAAGAAAGTGTTATTAATATTTTCCATTACCACAGTTAGACATTTTTGTAGTGACATAGGTTTTTACATCGACAGAAATCTGTCTTTTAACATGAGGCCAATTCAGTAGCATTCTTCATTCCTCATTTCTGAATCAGTTTTGTTTCAGAAATCCTGGCAATTCTACTGACTACGACCCTCTAATATAAAGACGTACTTAGACAAAGGATTAGAAATAGATATTCTTGCCAGTTTTTTATTTTACTCTGAAGAGTTAATAGAAGTTCCATGAATTTGGTGTCTACTCCTTATTAATAATTCTGATTTTTGTCTGAAAAACACAGATTTAAACTCCAGCTTTGTCAGTGTTAGGAATTTAAAACATTGTTTAGAACAGCTAACAATCTTTTCATAGAACAGAATTTACTTCCCCTATAGCCTGTTTTGTTCTAAAACAGAGGGCGTGCTAACAAATGATGCCATTAAAAAAAAAAAAAAATCACATTAGCCAAGTTTTCTTGTCTCCCTCCATTTATATACAGATGCTACTTTGTTCTTCAAATATTGTTGCCCTCAAAAAAACAGTCACACGTGTTTTCAATAAAATCTTTTTCAATCAAGAACATTCCACAAGTCAGTTTGGGATTTGAAAATGCCAAGAGAAATTAAGCAACTCTAAATCCAAATTAATTATCCAAGCCAGCTTATTACTATCTGAAGATTTAACCTAAAATTACCTTGTTTTTTAAAGTTTAGTTACTTTAACAACACTCAATAATCATCCATCCCACACAGCATTTCAGAAGTTAATGTTTCTACAAGACTTGAAAAATATTTTTTAAACTGTGATACACAGAATACTTATCCTGACAGAAACACAGTGTAATCAAGATCTTTAATATCAGCCTGACTTATCTGGTACCAGGTTCCATTATGGTTTACACGGAAAATAGAGAGTAAGTTTGTACATCTGCAGTACAACGGTTAGATTTACAACATTTTCCAAAAAAACTGTACGCAGCAATAGATTTGGGTCAGATGCTTAGCTGCCACAATTAAAGCTTCTCACAGAAGCAATGCTTCTTTCTACCTGCCAAAGATTTGGTTTTGTGACTTTCCATTTGTAGGGCTATCATCAAATGTTATCAAAGCAATACAAACCCACTTCCTTAGATGCACAGAGTAGAAAAATAACAGAAAACTATTACAAAGCCTAGTTTATTAATATGTTGCTTTTAAGCAAATACCACTTTCTGCTTTGTAGCATATCTGGCTCTGACACTAAATTAGGTCGGTATCAGTAAAGATTCTTCCAGCATTGAACAAAACAGTCACATACACAAAAGCTGCTACTTGCTAACAGAACTGCTTTAGCTGTATTTTGAAAGGAAGAAATGGGAACCATGTTACATGTGGAAAATTTGCAAAACTCTAGCAAGAAGCTAGTTAAGACAGCAGGTAATATGCATGGAATACGACCTACAGGGTTTGTGTATCCGAATATTTGCTGTGGTTTAGCATAAGGTACTATTTTAAGCCAGTTCAGCCAAACCAGACTAGGCTTCAGTTGAAATTATGTCACTATTAGTCAATTCAAGAGGCACTGGGGGGAGAACAGCAAAAGGGCAATAGTATAAAGTTACAAGAACAGTAAAGAACTTCTAAGCCTTGTGCTCCAGGAACTAAGAAAAAGTGGCTAAGTGCAACTGGGAGGGAGGGGGGGAGAAAATTTAAAAAAAATATTCAAACTACACAGAATAAAAGCCTGACTTCCAGCAACATAAACCAACGTAACATCATTCACTCAAAAAGAGGATGTATGTATTCTGCAGAAAGGGAAGACGTGGACTAAGCCAGAACATATTTGCATATAGACAAATCCTTATTTCAGACAATTTCACAGCTGGGGAGAATACAAAGACAACGTGGGTAACATCATGGACCTCTCCTCCTCCCAGAGGGCTCAGATCAGGAAGGAACATGGCGTGCTGTCTGGAGCGTGATGCCAGCATAACAAGGCACCTTCTGCTCTGCTTCAAACATACAACCTCTCATCTCTCAGATTATGCTGGTGTTGAGAAAGTAGTGCAAACATGGCCTTTCTAAGGTTTCTGATAAAGAGGTCTTATAGCTATCCCACACCCTACTCTTCCACAATTTACATTATTTAACATAAACACACGCATATAAAATAAATACCCCACGAGGCAGTCCATTACTCACAAGTTTACATGCATTCACACACTCTCCCAACTTTGAGAAGGGAAATCTCAGGGAGGGAAATCCACTCCCTAATCCCTGTAAGCAAATTAAACCACCCTTATCAGATCTACCATATTAGTAGCAAAAAACTAACTTAGCATCCTACTGTAACCCCATACGAAGAGGAAAGGTCATGGTTTCCCATAGGAAAGAATGCCTTTCAAAGAGATCCTGCCCTTCAAGATAATTCAGACTGCTGACTGCAAAGAAAGAGCAGGTTCACCCTGGAAAAGCAATCTTGGTGGTAGCTTGTCGAAACCTCTTCCACCACCATCACCACCACCCTAACTCAATTCTCAGAGCATCATTTAGATTAGAGCATGAATAAAAACCTGAAAATGGCTCCAGATGGCTGCCTCAGTTTGGTCTGTTATCCCACAGGTGGATCTGCTGGACTGTTTCAGTGGCCTCACTATGTCAAGTTTGGTGAAAGAAAACTCCATGATGTACACTGCAAAGGCAAATACACGGCAGCACAGCTGTCAGACAGACCGACTGTGTGAAGATGCTAACTTTCTATTTATAAAGTGAGCACAGACACTCGTCCTGGCCTGAGCTGTAACCAGAAGAACCTCAACCAGATAAACTACAAGCACTTGACCTCCACTATCAAGAAGCGAGGCAAGATGAAATTTAGCTTTCTGCAGATTTTGCTGAAGAAAAGAGTTTGTCCTTTTCCGGGCATGGAACAGTTTTGGCCCAAGTGCCATTTCACTAAGCAGCCAACGCCCCACAACAGGGTGTTACACTGGGGTCATGTATTCCATTATCCGTTCTCTTTTCTGTGTTCCTTAACGATGAAAAAAGTCAGTAAAATTGGCAACACCACCACTTTCTGAGCATGAGATTCCAAAGGAAATGCAGTGCAGCCAGAGGGACCCAACACAGATAGTCCTCTTTGTTTCATGGATCTGCTCAACAAGCTGAAGGTAGGCAAAGGCTCTGTGTTAAAGCTAATGAATCATAGGGATGACAGAGTACACAGAATGCTTTGATCGTAAAGCATAACCTTTAATTCATGGAATCCCAAAGTCCAGGGATACATGCAATCAATGAAAATCCAGAACTTCTACAAAGGAGATTTTTGAGAGTAGTTAACAACATCATGCCTTCAAACGATCAATATTGAAAAGATTTTTTTTTTACATTCATTTAGAATTTCCAAAGTTCATTACAAAAATGCATTATCACATGGAATCTGAAGGGTAAAAAAACCCTCAACTGTTCTGTAGCAAATCTGATCTAGTTTTAGTATCCTTAACAATGAGATTTTCACCCTTCTCCACAATAGACTGCCTCCCACAAAAGATTTCCCAGAAGCAGACTGCTAGTAAAAGTTCTTCAAAAGATTCCAAACTCCAGTACTATGTTTCACTTCAGTTTTCACTGAACTCCAGAATCATTCCATAGCTTAAAAAAAAGCTCTTCATAGTAACTGATCCCATCAAAAAAAATCTCTCACGAAGGGGGCAATGTCATCAGTAAATTTGCTAGTACTTTGGTTAACTTAAGCATTTGTAGCACTGGGCATAAGCAGCTTCTTGTACTCAAACAGTAAAATTCAATGAGGATTTTCAAACACGGAGATCAGGAAAGGTATCACTGTCCCCCTGAAGCCAGGAAGAAGCTGGTGCGTGGCTGGAGAAGCATCTACCTTACAAAAAGCAGCAAGAGTGCAGCTTGTGAAGATTTATCTGTCTCGGCTCTCAAGGAACTTGGCTCTGCAACCACGAGCAGTCTAATGAGAGCACCACATGGTTTCAGCACAAAGCACACCATCCCTACCAGCGATGGAGATGGGTTTAGCAGGTGAAGTGTGCCACTACAGCTGCGCAGGTTTGGACAACAGCTGGAAGATGGCTCATGATCTGCTGTTTCAGCTTTCAATTTCAATACACATATACTCCTCTGTTCATTTTTGCAGCCTCCTCACCTTTCCAGTTAAGGATAACATTAGAAAACAATACATTCCACAAGGCTTTAACATTCTTCAAGAAAAGCAAGAAAACAAGACAAGAAGCATGACAGTGTTCAGTGAGAATGCTCCCACCAGACCACAGTGAGGGGGGAAACAAAAGGTCACTTTTGCACCTGTTTTCTCTGAAAAAGAAACACCAGAACATTTTCTAGAAGCATTCACTACTTTCCTCTTACTCAGAGACTGGCTTACATCTAAGAACACTCTTGAGCAAAATACTGCACTGACAGTAAGTCATGTATCACAGCAGGCTCCTACCACCGCTTTCATGTTATTGTCTATGTCCTCTGGCCTTCCAACCTGCCAAACCTCATGTTCTCCCATTTTCAAGTCCCTATACTTACTGTGATATCAACAGCTTATTAAAGAGAATAGACTTTTGATTGACAATCAAGATGTGCACACAATTAACCTACTCATACAGCTGTAACTTACTCCTCTTCATCAGATTCCACCAGCTTCCCAATGACAGCAACACATGCCAGAACAAACACTTCATGCTTTCCCCAAGTGATGGAGGAGTTTGAACATACAAGCTGACCCACCTGACTTCACGCGGGCGGGAAAGCAGAGCCTCTGCTGCAAGCTGCTTGGAACAAACAGCCTCATCGTGTTTGTTCAGAGCCTAATACATTCTTGAGCATGCTCACAAAAAATTAAAGCTCAAAAGAGGAAAGAAGAACTTTAGTCATTAACTTGAA